ATAGTCTTAAGCACACAATTTTTTAGATCCTTGCCTTCCGGATTTCAAAGTTAAAAAAAAGATTTTATTTGTGTTTTCTAAAATTGTTGTCTTAGGAAAAAAAAAGCTCTGATTAAATAATTAATTAGTAAAAATCAGACAGACTAGAACTAACCGTCTGCCACATGAAGTGCTTTGTGGAAATATTAGCATGCTTATTTTCAAATAGTGAGATTGCAAGAAATAGAGGTTCTTGGTTGTTGAAGACAACAAGAGGCCATTGCAGAATCAAAGCTAGAATGTGGGTCTCTAGATTTTAAATTCCACGCTTTAATAATCAGACCACAGCATATCTCCAGGATAGCTTGTAGGCCTTTTATCTGCCTCCCTCCCACATTATATAGGGAAAAATCCTACCCTGTTGAACGTGAATATTCTAGAAATGTTTCAAATTCCATTTAGTGAAGAGAGATTGAGAAGAAAATCCAAAGGAAAGTAATAACTATTGAATGGTATTACACCTATATCCTAGAGCAACAAATCTTACTATTTTTCCTCATTTGAACCTCATTCATGAGATTTTTGTTGTTAACTTCATCCAGATGACAGATCAAAGCATAATTCCCTATTGCCACCTTGCTAAAATATTTTTTAAAAGACAGTTTTAATATTATAGTTTTACAGTTACAGATTGCTGTTAAGCTATTTAGTCTGTTACCAGTCAATCAAAGACTTTCATTTCACTTCAGTAGATCCTTACTTAAACTCAACAGAATTTTAGGAGGACAAGAAATATCTGTCAATTTTCTTACAGTGCTAGATCATAAATTCTTTGGTAAGAGGGTTAAAAATTCAGTTACACATACCATTCATGACCTTGACAACTTAGCAAATAGTGGTATTGAATGATCAAAGACAACTGTTTCAAGCCCTAAGGGTTAATGTACCTGTGCACCTAGATTTAAGCTGCTTTTAATTCTTCTATCATTCCTTTATTTAAAAATGGATGCAGTATTTATTGACTGTAGGCAATAATTTTAAAGCAAAAAAATCTGAGGAAACTGTTTAAGCTAAAACTAATAAGGCTATACATGATCTGTAGGAGAAGCAGTTAGTTAATTGTTGCATTTTACAAGTTAACATTTTTTCTTTCCTAGTATAAATCCAAATTAAAAACTGCTCCTTCTCAGGTGTGGGCCTGGTATTCACCAGGCATTTTCAAATGTTGGTATGATAATTTTGTTGTCAGAACTGTGGCTATGTAGTGGTTTTCAGGAAAACCGTATCAATAATAATAGTTTTGAGAGGAAAATGTGAATAAAATTTTGAACTATATAATATAACTATTTCAGATATGGAGTAACTCATACAGTGTAACATATGATGCAAATTAGATATGGCACATTTTAAATGCTTGTACAATCATCACTCTAATTTTCATGAATTGTACATTCCAAGACCGATCATTTTCTCGATCATCTAGAAAAGTCATACTGAATAATCTGTTGTGCTTTCAAAAGTAATACAAGAAAAGGTCTTGGATGTTCTTGAATAGGAAATTTTCAAGTATGCTGAAGATGTTGCACGAAATGATGGCATTGCCAAGTCAGTAGGTGGTATTTTTCCCTCACAGTCAGTACTGAAGCAGTGTTCTAATGTGTTGATATGGGACCCAGACCATGAGGATTTATTGTCTGGCTGATAAACCAACGTCTTAAAATGTATATGCCTTTCTGTGTGTTTGTGTATGTGCTTGTAAGTAAGTGTAGGGGTGTGAAGCCCTGGGGTCCTGAATGAATTCCAATGTGATTAATTAATTTCTTCCTCAAATAAAAATATACCTGGCATTTCAAAGCCTACTAAGAGTTAACAAGGGAAGCAAACAGAAGTAAAGTTACAGTTTTTTGTTTAGAAGGACCTGAAAAGGATTGTATTGTTCCTCTGGATAGCTTTACTTTTGTTCCTCCCCCAGAAATCCTTCTGTTCATCCTCCTCAAAAGTCCTGCTTTTAAAAGTTTGAAATCATACCATGTTTTGTACTACTTAAGTCCTGGAAAATACAGTTCAGTGTGGAAGTATAGCACTCTGACAGTAGCTAAAGCAAAGACAAACAGAACCTCAAAATCATATTAGTTATCGTTATAAAGAGCTAGCAAATAAAACAAAAAAGCTTTTAAAAATAATATTTTGCAAAATATTTAGCATCATTTTAAGAAATTAATGACAATCACAAGTCACGTAAAAGTTTGGATGGTTTGATGATCACTTGAGTGGAAAAGAAATTCTCATTTCACATTTCTTATATTTTGCTTCCAGAACAGGCACACTAAAGGAAGCCTACTACAGCATTAACATTTCTTTGTGCACATTTTATTGCAATCTGGCATCCAAAAGGAAGAAACATTAGAAGTGGTTTATTTATATTTCAGCACCAAATTAGAAAGATGACATCATTCATTTACAGTTCTTATCCCATGACACGTCTAATCCCCAACACCTCATTACAGGGGACACTTTTAGGATTGCATATATCATCTTGTTTAACTTTTGCATTCTTTTATGGAATACAGTTGAAAGGTAGGAAATTTAAGGTTGTTCACTGATAAGAAAATAAACTAATAAAATGTTAGGAGCTTCCCCAAAGAGGCAGGATATTACAGTGTTTACAGTAAGTGGGTTATTATTTGTCTATTAATTCTCCATCTTTTCCACTCTTTTGTTCAAAAGGCCTTCCTCTTTGAATCTGAAGACAAAGAGACCAACTATGATGATTCAGATTGAGTTGGTCTTTTGGCAAAATTGGTAGAAATTCATAGCTGAAATTCATACAGCTGTATGCTTCCATGTTCTTCTCTGGGAGGGAGAAAATGAAATGGTTCCAACTGTGCAGAAAATAGTGTTAAAAAATGTGAAATAATACCATATAGTGCCAGTGTAATTCCTGTTCAAAGGAATCCACCACTTGACCTGTGGAGGACATTTATTCTGTAACACACTGGGAAAATGCTCTTTTAGTGCTATAGAGATGCTCAGAAAGAGTCTGACAGTGGCTAAAGCATGTGCACATCCGATCTGTGGTTTTTCCTCTATCTTGTTATTATGGATGCCTTAAGGGTTTGGTTTAGTTCGTTTTTTACTTGAACTGAGTACAGATCCCCTCCTGTAAAATAGTTTTCTATGAACCTTCTAATGGACATCACGTGAAATGCTTGAGAAGCATTGTGACATTTCAAAAAAAATTAATTGCTAAAAACATGCATCAGGATTTCCTGTGATCCCTGTTGTTCATAGTTTTCCTCACATTAGATTTTGCTATACTTCAAATATAGTGTAATATTAATATTTAGTTTGCTTTTTTCCCAAACCTCTTTTCTACTTTATCAAAAAACATTAAAATTGGGAAATTTAATAGCAATCTCTGAGTTTTTACATTTTCTAGTATTACCTATACTTACCTGAAATTTTCCTAACGGAGATTTTGGTACAGGATTGTTCTCATAGGAAAATCAATTTACAATAGTCCTGGAAGTAAATTTAGGGGGACACTAGCTATCCCATGCGCACTTCGAATTGGAAGCCAGTTAGACCTGTTAATATAGGAACATACCCAAACGAGTTGTGTTTAAATTCATCTGGTTTAGTTGGTCCTTTAGAATGCATTAATTTGGGCAAAGTCCTGGGGTAATGTGTTTAGCCAGCATCCTCACTGGAGTTAGCATGAATCCTGCTACCTTGGAGCATGGGTAGAACTAAACTGTTGCTTTTTGCAATTGATTTCAGACTCTTATCTTAACTGTTCACCAAAAGTGTGTGTGCAAAGTAGACTTGTTTGTGCTTGACCAACTCAAATGATGTCCACATAGAGAATTGCACAAAGTAGATAATGCTCCTTCAAGAACAACCTTTCTCCTATAGGATTCAGTGAGATTTTTGAAGATGATATTGTGTGTTAAGACTTCTATCTTTTCTTCAGTCGTCTGCATGATATTAATTGTATATGTCTCTAATTGATTCTTCTAATTTTGGAAGAGGTCTTTGAGAGTTGACAGCATTTTCTTCTGGATTTTGTTAGTGCAAAAATAAGTAAAACTTGATTACAGGTTAACAAGTTTGCCTGAGACAGCCTTCAGTCCTACTGACAGAAAAAAAAAAAGTACCGTATCCACTGGTATTGGGCAACTGGTAGTAAGATATTTTTGGTATTATGAGCAAGGTTTGAATTATTCCAGTCTATATATTTCATGGTATGGAATAATTGTAACAGTGATAAAAAGCAGCAATGTATCTTGTTATCTCATGGTGACATAGATTTTATCATCTGTACACAGCAGTAGCTGAAGTGTTGATCTTTTTTTCAAGACTTATATCTAAGACTTACTTTCAGTCAGTAATGTGTGTCAAGTTCCGTAATCACTTATTTCTCTAAGTGCCTGTGTCTGTATCAGTTAGTTTTCAGATTCTTTTAACTTACTGCTTAGCAGGGTGATCCTGGTGTACAATTAAAATAATTAAGCCAAAATAGAGCTTTTAGCATAACTATTCATGATTGTTGTTGACATGCTTCAGTAGCTAACTGTAAATATTTGAAGTACACCTAGTATTCCTTTCAGTGAGATTTTACAAGTTAATTGGCAAGACATAATAATAGACTGGAAAAAATAGGAAACTGTTCTAAAATAGTACATTTAGAAAAGCTGAATGTATTTATTGACACCCTTCAAACATAACATCCTTGATACCGTTTTCTGACTTCTTTGTGCAATTCTACTCTGTGAAAACTGAGACAGAAGATGTGTTCACATACTTTGTTATCTTTTTCTATTTCTGTTTCCTTTTCTTTGTGAGCCAGCAGTCTGGACTTCTATTGTTAGATCCTTACAGCTACAAAAAAAAAAAAAAAAAAAAAAAAAAAAAAGAAAAGAAAGAAAAAAAAAAAAGAGGGCTCAGAATCTTCCAAAAACACTCTTAGAGTAATATATTCCAGCATGTAACAGAATTGTCTCACTTTACATCTTAAACAGACACAAAACAGAATGAAACTGATGGCAGATAACTACGATGATGACCATCACCACTACCACCACCATCACCACCACCACCATCATCGATCTCCTGGGAGGCCACAACACTCCAACCACAGACCCTCTCCAGATCAGGTTAGTCATCATTTTTTCACCTTCAGTTTTATAATTTTACTGTTTTGATATTTCAAGATAAAATAAATATTCCAAAGAAATAATAAGCAAGTGATGTGTTCTTTGAACTGAAACTAGTAGCTCTGGTATTTATTTCCATCCCTGAAACAATTTAAACATTTTGGCTTTTTGTGTTTTTCTTCCCTATCTTTCTTTAGAAGTTTTGCAGCTATTTTCAGCATTTCAGAAGTCAACATTTTCAGTAGAAAACCAGTGAAAAATCTCCTACTTAGTGATTACTAGTGATTACTAGTGATTACAGAAGTATGCACTTTTTGGCATAATTTTTTGTTTATTTAAAGTAAATGGATTAATCATTAGTATTGCAAAACCTGTGCAGCAATTCCCATTGGCAACTTCTAAACCAATGGTTCTAAACTGTTTTTGAAAGTATCTTTCTGATGAAGCTTTCAAATAACAGATATAGCTTAAAATCAATACTGATGCATTTTTAACTAGGCAAGATTAACCAAATTCCAGAGATGTTTTAGTTTAAAAATGCTTAGTAATTCAGTATTTTTCTTCTTAGAATATTATTCTTCTTAGAGTCCTGTGTTTCAGAAAGGGCAAATAAGTGTTCTAATAACATGGTCTTCTAGAGTATGTTAATTGAGCATGCTAGCAGTGAACCTTTTCTCCTCCACTCAGGGTGTAAAAACATCCATAAGCCCAATACTAGTTTGATTTTGTAAATTTCAATATTTGTTTACAAATAAATACAATTTTTAAACAAAAATACTTTTGTAAATATGTAACTCATTTGCTTTTATTGATAATATTTTAGAATATTAATGATATGAAAGTTAAGTGAAAATTAAAATACAAAATTATTAAAACAAGTTTACTGTCACATAGTTTTAAATTAATATTTACACTGTGTATGTTTGGAATGAGAAGGTAATGATGTTCTGTGGTTTATTAGCATTCCAACACTTTGTCTTTTGGAATACTTTAATGTGGTTTTTCAGATACCGTTGCTGTCAATAGGCAGAAATTTGCTAAGCGTGCAAGCTCAGTGCTTCTGGTTCATAGACAACTGGGTGAAGCAGACATCTTGACCAAAAAGTTTATTGTTTTGATGTGTTTGAAACAGATGTTTCCAAACAGAAAATGCAGTGTCTTTTATTTCTGGAAAGCTTAAAGACCAGATCCACCAAAAATAAAGTATCTGCTTTAATTTTATAGTTATAATATTGAAAACAATGCTGTAGTGTTGCTATAGCTATTAGTAATAACGTTATAGTTATTAGTTATAAGTTATAGCTAGTTATCATTATAAAGTTATAGTATTGAAAATAATAAATTATTTAATTCATTATGTAATTATATATTATATACATTACATTTGTATATATACACACTAAAATAGTATTTCAAATTCTAGTGTCAACTTTATCTCATCCTTAAAATACCCTTCTGCCAGTGAAAATGTTTTCATAATTGTTTTCTGAGGTGTCTGGGTCTGATACTGTTTAAAATTTGTTATGGTAAAAAATAGTGTGTGTGTGTACATGCATGCGTGTATGTGTATATGTGTATGAAATGCTAAACCACAAGAAATACAAATGAAAGAAGCTAAGCTGTAGCATATGAAATTTCAAGAAACGAACCTCTATTTTGAAATTAAAATATATATGTAAGCCATGCTGCCAGCATGCCATGTGTTTCCAGCTGATACTGGGTGCCACTATTCCATTTCAAATGAATATGCTTAGTAAGTGGAGAGCTTGTCAGCTATGGATGAAGTCTTGCATGAAGATGACTTTCAAATTTTAAGATAGACTTCTTTTCACTATATGACTCTTTAGCCTACCACAACGAGTGAGAGTTGTAAACTGTAGGAGTTTTAGGAGGAACTCAGTCACAGTAGGACAAGGGGGAAAGTTATCTGTATATGTATTTATCTGGAGTAGGAAAAATATTCTATAGAAGCAAGTAACTCTTTTTCAGGTAGAGAACCCTGGGGAAAAATAAAACATTGCTTTTATATGAAGAATCATTGTTTGATACTAAATTAGTTTATAAGTTCATAATGTCTTAAGAGATTGGTAAAGTTGTAACAGGGATGTATGATACACTACTTAATTGGGAATAGGAGACAAAGAGGCAAATGACGCTTTTTTTAGAATGACCAATAGAGTTGTACTGAAGACAGGAACTGGTAAGTATGAGAAAACTCAATTTCTTAGATACCAACTTAAAAAAACCCAAACCTGAATAACAGAACACAGAATCCTTTGAGTTCTTGGAACATGTTAAGAACAACTTTTTCTTTCAGAAACTGGAGAAGGATATTAAGGACTTGCTGTCTTTGTTTTAGTTCTGTTTCTGATTAACAGAGATAAGTTGGCTGAGTTTATAAAAGAAGGAAAAATTGTCTGAAAATGACCATGAAATAAAAAATGTTTTGGCTTTGTGCAAGGAATAGAATGAGAAAAACAGAATGAAGGCAAGAGACGTGAAAAAACAGGTAACAACCACCTCTGTGTTACTGAAATCCAGACACTGGTTTCAACTAATTCAAGAAACCTGAACCTGTAAAGAAAACTTGAGGGACAAGACAATGTAAGAGAGCTAACGTTTAGTGAAGAAGGCACTTTTTAATGCACAATAACAGGTTATTCAGAGAAGAGAACGGGTAAGAATAATAATGAAAGTCTGTATCAAAACATCTTCAAGAACTTAAAAAACTTAAGAAGTTGTATGAATGATGGAAATGGGTACATGATTAAAGACAGAGCACATAAAATACTAGCTATTTCACTAGTACTAGTACTCTCAGTTTTTCTCTGAACTGTTTATGGTTATATCCAACAGCTCTCATGTAGGATATAGGAGATCCTTGGAGACTCGAGGAAGGCAAACACTGTTCTCACCTTTACAAATAAAATGTGTGGGGATCTATGAAAAACTTTATTTTAGACCCTGGAAAGTAGTGGAAGAAATTATTAATCAGTGAATCAATAGAAAACCTGTAGTCTCTTTACTGTTCATTTTCAGTAGCTTGATGTCTGTATCAGACTGTATGACGGTATCTGTCTATCCATCTCAATGTGTATCAGATCACTTTATACTTGCTTCGCCCTTATCCTCTTTTCCTCGTCATCAACTGGTGGTTCCTATCTTAGAGCAGATAAACTCTTTTTATGTTACATTCTTGAAGTTATGAGGTTGTTTACCACTATGTACTCACTTTATTCTTGCGCTCTTTCCTAGGTGACTGTTTTGGGCCACTCTCTAAAAGAGAATGCAGGTCTAGATGGCTGTTACATAGTATACCCATCCTATATTTAGTCTTTCTATATTTGTCAAGGGCAAATTATGTCAAGCAAATCAAATTTCCTTTGATAGGGTAACTGGCTTTGTGGCTAAAGAAGAAAGTGGTGGCTGTGACATACTTTGAATTTGTAAGACCTTTAACACTGTCCCACCATGTATTTGTAATATACAAATAAATACATTAATTTTAATGTAATTAACATGTAATGTAAAATGCATTACAATAATAAAAGCTGTAACTATAAATAATGCTATTTTAATTTAATTAATTATGAAATCACCATGAGATGGGTGCGCAACTGATACAAATAACATGCTACAGACAAATTTTCCGTTACTCATTGTCAGACAGGAGGGACATTTACAGCAGGGTTCCAAAGAGGTATGTCCTTTATCTGCTTCTGTGGAGTATTTTTTTAGAAATTATTTCAATGATGAAATAGAAAAAACCATGAATATTGTTGATAATAAACCAAGCTGCAAGAAGCTGCAGGCATAGTAGGAGCAGTTAAACTGCTCAATAAGCGGCTCCAGTCTCAACAAACTGGAGAGAAAGTCTAGAATAAGTAATCTGAAATTCAGTAAAGGCAAGTCCATTTACAAGGGAGAAGTCACATGTACTGATAAGGCAATAGCATGGACAAAGGAATCTGGATTGCACATAATATATGGCAACAATGGAATACCATTGCAATGAAGTTGGATCTAATTCTGGGATGGATGTAATACTGGAAAAGAAGCAGGAAGCAATTACTCTGCTCTTTCGAGCACTGGTGAGACCTCATCTGAAAAGCTGTATACAGTTTTGATCACCATGCTTTAAGAAAGATAGACAAATTAGAAAGGGACAAAAGGAGAGCAACAAGAATGATAGGCATTTTGGAGAATATGACCTATGAGGAAGGCTTAAACTGGGTTTGTTTAGTCTAGAAAGTACTAAAGAGGAGACATTAAGTCTTCCAATACATAAAATGTTGTTGTAAAGAAGACGACGAACAATTGTATTCCAAGGCCCACTGGAGAAAGAATAGGAGTGGTAAATTTAATTTATACCAAGAATAACTAGGTTAGTTATTAAAAAAAAGAAACTTCTTCACTATGAGTCTAATGAATTTGTAAGTGGAAAGAAAATGTGGACATTATTTCATATAGATGTAATGGAAACTCCTTTCTTGGAGGTTTTTAACAGGTTAGATGAGTATCTGTGGCACACGATAATAGCTTTATCTCATCTTGTGTTGGTGCATTGGGCTTGGAGTAGGTGTTCTCCTGAAGTACTGCCATCCCTAAATTTCCACAAACTCTGTGAACAATGGATTAGCTCAGCAAATATTTACTTGTAAAGCAAGCAAATAGGAGATTCATAGCAAAATCCTTGCTGAAATAATCTTTGAGAACAGCACAGTCAATGATAATCATGGGTGAACTCCAGTCATTGCTTTAGCTTACATTTTTCAGTCATGGATTTTTTTTTTTTTTTTTTTTTTACTTTCTGTGTTGTGTTATTTACCATTCCGTACAGCATTCTTTTGTACAATTTGTACATTTTTGTACATTCTTTTGTAATTTGATTGCCATGTGCCAACCTGTATTTCCCATTCAATGGTGTATTACACATAAATTCTAGATATGTGGGTTTTGATGACCATAATCCAACATACTGCTAGTGGTTTGAAACCACA